AGGTATAGTTTAGGAGATTACTATCATATACAAATACTATAACAGAGAATACTAGACAGGGAATACTATAACAGAGCATACTAGACAGAGAATACTATAACAGAGAATACTATGCAAAGGATACTATAACAGAGAATACTATACGTAGAATACTATTACTATAACAAGTATACTATAACAAGATTCAGAGATAACATAATGTGAGATACTACTTCATGACACATCGACCATTTCATTATGTCACGTTTTGTAACCAGAATCTCCTGGAGGGAGAGCGTGAGTTTGCGTATAGATCTATACTGGATTGACTATCCTACACCTTGTTGTTCGCTACAGTGGGACTTGCAAGTCTACGGGTGCCAAATGTCATTTCTTCAGACGTCTTTCATCGTTGTGTTATAGTCGGTTTAGCGTGGACTTGCAAGTCCACGCTACTCAAGACCTTCACTCAAACGTTATCTTCCTATCATACTCCTAATAATGTTAATGATGCGTTGTCTGATCCAAAATGAGTGCATGCAATGCAAGAAGAACTAGAGGCCCTACATAAAAATAACACATGAAAATTATTCCCATTACCAAGGGAAAAAATTAGTGGGATGTAAATGCGTATTTTCTATTAAATACAAGGCGGACGGCACAGATAATCGGTACAAGGCAAGGCTGGTAGCAAAGGGTTTTACCTAAACATATGGCATAGATTACTTAGAAACCTTCTCACTGGTAGCTAAGCTAAATACAGTTAGGGTTTTGTTATCTCTTGCAGCAAATTTGGATTGGCCACTACACCAACTAGACGTGAAAAATATTGGATTAAGGTGTCTAAGCCAGTAACTAAATTGGTATATTCTTGTAATTAGAAGCAAAGTCCTTTTTTGGGTTGCCCTCGTGACCAGAATTAGCTCAAAATGATATTAGGAGAGAGAATATAATTTATTAGATTATTATATGATTAATAAACTAATTGGAAATTATAGGAAAATGATTTGTTAATATATTATGTGATTAATGTATTAATTGGAAATAGACAGTTGATTTGTTAATTTATTATGTGATTAATAAATTAATATGAGATCAGTTGTTAAATAATTGATTTGTTAATTTATATGATTAATAAATTAATGTGAAATCAATTAGAATTGATTAATTATTAATCAGAATAAATCTGGAATTAATTCGGGATTAATCGGAATTAACTAAATGTGCAAGGGGTGAATTGTAATTGTTTAATAGTTGAACAAAAGAAGCAATTCTAGAACCCTCCATGGTATGTATGGTTTTGTAGTGTTTCCTAGGGTTTCTAGAAGCCTTTTGGTTGCATAAAAGGAAAAGATTTAAATTATGATTAAATCTATTATTTAATCAATTCAAATCTCACTTTGTCTGCAAGTTACTTAAACTATAAATAAGACATATTGGCTTGTAATTTTCGTTCACCACATTAACTAAAGGCATAGTAATGAAATTCCCTTCATATCTTCTCTCTCCTCCTCATTCTAGGGTTTCTGGTTTGGGGTGTGAGCCATTAGAGCCACCATCCTTTTGGTGCTTTCTTTCCAAGGAACTTCTAGAGGATTTGATTTTATTATTTGCTATAATAATCAAAAGGTATGTAACCCTAATCTTTATGTTAATTTCGATTTTCATAGCCTCCATCTAGTGTTTCTTGATGTTCATAGGTTATTGCTATCAATAGAGAAAACATATATCCTTTCTAGGTTGCATGTGAACTTGAGGGTTTAAGTGTTTTTCCACCACATGAATTTTTTTATAACCCAGAAAACCCATCAAAAAATGTTTTCCTTCATGGAATCCTTGATGAGGAGGTGTACATGGACATTCCTTTGTATATACCACATTGATGGAAACAAAGTTGTGTGTAAATTGGAGAAGGTGTTGTATGGACTGAAGCAATCTCCATGCGCATGGTTTGGTCGACTTAGTTCAGCAATGAGAAAGTATGATACCGACAAAGTAATGTCGATCATACACTTTTTCTTAAACATCAATATAGCAAGGTAACAACATTGATAGTTTATGTGGACGGCATGATAATTACAAGAGACGATGTTGATGAGATCTCAAGACTTCAAAAGCAATTATTTGCTAAATTTGAAATGAAAAAAAGGCATATCTATCTCCCAAAGAAAATACATACTTGACTTATTGACGAAGGTGGGATTACTAGATTGTAAACTTTTTGACACTCTGATTGTACAGAACCATGGACTTGGAGAATATTTGAATCATGTGTCTGTTGATAAAGGGAGATATCAAAGACTAGTAGGAAAGCTCATATACTTATCTTACACTCGTCCAAACATCGCTTATGCGGTGAAGGTAGTGAGCTAGTTTATGCACAACCCAAGCGAAGGCCATATGAGTGTGGTGATTTGAACTCTTCGATATTTGAAGTCGTCACCAGGAAAAGGAATCATGTTTTTAAAGAATACACATTTGGATATCGAAAGATACACTGATGCAGATTGGGAAACTAACATCTTGGATAGGAGATCTATGTCCGGGTACTTTACTTTTGTTGGAGGTAACTTTGTCTCATGGATAAGTAAAAAACAAAAGGTGGTAGCTTTGTCTAGTGTAGAAGCGGAGTTTCGGGGTATGGCGAAAGAGCTATGTAGGCTTCTTTGGCTTAAATGGTTATTAACTTAGATCAATTTTCCCCCAAACTCGGAGATGAACTTATTTTGTGATAACAAAGCCTTTATCGACATAACTCACAACCCGGTCTAACATGACCGCACCAAGCATGTCAAGATAGATCGACATTTAATCAAATAGAACCTTGAAGAGAAGATTATTCAGTCCCCTTTCGTGAATTCAAAAGATCAACTGGCTGACATTCTTACAAAAGTTGTCTCTAGCAGAAACTTCAATGACTCACTTGACTAGTTAGGTGTTAGCGATATCTACACATCAACTTGAGGGGCAATATATGCGTGAGTCTCTTAATTTCCAGTTGTAAATTGTATCTTTGATTTAGGTTCTTTCCCTTTTCAAGAGATTGAGTCGATTGTATCTATAAATAGATCATAGGCTGTCTTTTTCCTTAAAATAGGTTATTCCTCCTCTATAAAATAGAAGCAATTGTTGTCACTTTATTCATTTACACACATTTCAATAAATAAATCAAAACTGACATTTTTAATACGTTGAGACCAAAAACGTCCAACTCCAAATCATAATTGTTATAGAATATGTATAATTGTATATTGAAGATATAATAATTATTTCGATTTTTACAGACATATAAAAGGTTTTCTTAGGTACATAAACATATTTTTATTTTCAAGTATGGTAGCATAGCATATCACGAGATGATTTAGACTTTTGTGTGTTTATAGCAACACCCGGTGTATAATCAAATCTAAAAAAAAAAAAAAAAATCACTATCCAAAAATATAATCTACTTAAAAATTATTATAATCAAGAAAAGTTTACTCCCTAGATCCGCATCTAAACATATTATTAAGGGAAACCAAATTCCTGCCTCCTTTAATGCCTTTGTCTGCACGTAGACTAAAGTGGATCTGGTCGGCACGCGATTGGCCGTTTTAGTTTCTTTTTGTTGATTTACGTGCCCCCATACTTTGGGTAACTAGCAATAATGACCCCTTAACTATATAAGGTAGGCATTGTCAAGTGCTAAGTTTTTCTTATATTGATGATTATGCTTGTATTGAGTAGGGATGAGCTCCAAATCAGAAAACATGGCAAAAAACCGGAACTGGAACCAAACTAGACCCAAGTATAAGTTAAAGTGGGTTGGGTATCTGGTATTAATATAAGCCTAAAACGGGTATTGTGTATAGTGGGTTCGGGTCAAACGGGCAAAGAGAACCAGACCCAGAAAAATTAAAAAACTAAAAAACTTTCAGTTTTGATACTCTAACTTCGAGGGAATGTAACTTATTCAATTCAGAACCAAAAATGATGAAATTATAGATTAAATTGAAGTATAAACTATAAACTACATGGTGGAAAATATCTCTTGTTAATATGACTTCAAACGAATGAGTTATGTAATTTTTTAAAGTTTCACAGGTTACACATTACCTGGTTTTCCGATTAAATGCTCACTTTATCCGATTCCATCCTACCCACTTTGACAATATTTATGGGTTTTTCAGTTCTACACCTATTTTACCGAGAACTGAACCAGAACTGGTTCCTATACACCGATTCGGTTTCCGGTTTCACAAAATCTCGTTTTTTGGTTTCCGGTTCCGGGTCGGGTTTGGACCCATTTTCATCCCTAATATTGAGTTATATTTATGACTCAAACATGTTATTAAACGTTGTTCGTTGTATTTTAAAATAAAAAAACAAATTAGATTCTAATGTCTTACATTAACAAATACTTCCTTAAGTTATTATGCATGGATAAAATGATAAGAAAATGTGAGTTGTACTGGCACCGCACACCACGACGAGGTGAGGTGTCACTGCCGTGGTGCGGTGAACACCACATCGTCTGGTGTGTGGTGGTGCAGTGGGGTCCCTCGCAGGAGAAGAATACATCATGTCTCTATATCTTTTTTCATGCTACATGTTATATATAGTACAACATACATTGATGTATATTTTAGAAGAGTGAGAGGTGACTATTTCCTATAAGTGACATGGTTAGGGTAAAATACCTTATCGATGAGGTGTCAAGAAAAAAATGATAATGATATTTGTCAGGATAAAATGCTATATACATAATGTTTGTTTTCTTTTAGAGATTGTTTAATGAAACTAAATATCATTTCTACCATGATATTGCAATTTGCAAAAACACAGATTTTACAATATTCATAGGTTCTAACATAAGATGGATTGGAGGAAAAAAAAAGGAAATAGAAAATAGGTAAACAATTAGTGTCTTCATATATAAGAATTAAACTAAGTATTTTTTTTTTCTTTTTTCTTCAATTATTCAATGATTATGTCCAATTGTTCAATTATTATGTCCATTTAAGTCAAGAAAACAACAATCATATATAACTGTCCGGATCAAGTTTTTTAATAAAAAAACAAAAAACAAGACATGGTTCCTCTCAAATAACCAAGATTTCATAAACACCCCTGGCCCTTGAGGTGTTCAAGTATTCAATTATGTAAATTCCAAAAAACACCCCTCAAAGATTTACACTCGCCACAATCGACCCCCAAACTATCATCCTATCACTATTTAGACTCAACAATCACAAATCCGCTCAAAATCAACAAACAAGTAAAGTTGCTACTATATATAATCTACAAACAAATCATCTGAAATATCAAATTTTGATATTTCAAGGTCGCCACATGGTCTTTTGAACGCATAAAATGCCCTCTTTTTCCTGAACAAATGTCATTCGTATCTCCCAATGTAAACTTTTATATATTTTCTCTAATGATTTTAGTATTTGTGCCTTGTCACGTATGATTGCCCAACCACCAGGTCTTAATATCCTATCCATCTCAACAACTATACTTACCGTTTGCCTACACCTGCAAAATACATATACAACTTTTTTAAATTCCAATATTGCCCCTGATTGACATCGGTCTTATAACATGTTATGTCATGAGTAATAGATATGAATATATTGAAAGAAAGTTATAAGGGAATGACAAAATTGTCCTTGTTCATATCATGATTGAAGTTTTAGAGTTAAGGGTATTTTGGGAAATATAAGATTTACCTGTTTTTAAGCCTGGAGAAGAGATGATCAGCATGTAAAAGGTCATATGATCTTGGATAAGTAGCAAAAGATTCACACCAATCATGATAGATTCCAACAAGTCCACGTTCAAATATTATGGGAAGTGTATCAGGTGCATACACAGGCACCACATTCATCACCCAAACATCATGTTCCACAAGAGCAGCTGCAAAACTGTAATTTTGAATCAGAAAATTTACAAATTACCCCCCTGGACAATGTCAAGAATTTCAATTTTCAAATTATATACCTTCCGAAAACAGAATGCATGTCCATTACATTCCGAATAGTTGACCAGTTGATTCCCATTCCGGTTATGTAAGACTTGTCAACAATTGCTTTCCAATGTTGAGAGTCGGAATCCAACTTCTCTCTATTGTTCATCCAATCAGGGAATGTCTGAAGCCTTTTGGGCCATTCTTCAGGCCATTCAGTTCCTCTTTCTTCAATGGCAGAAGGAATTGGATGCAAGCATGAATTTATAGGAACATACCTGACATTTTACAGATTTGCCCTTAATTTTCCATTTTCCCATGTGGGTTTTCATTTTCTTGAATATTATTTATTTGATGAAAGAGAAAATATCAAAATAGGTTACCAAGTAGCATCTGCATTCTCATTGTCTTTACACATAGGAGGAATTTTCTTTCTTCTTAATGAATAGATTTCATTTGATTCGGGTTTTTGGTATATTCTAACACCAATGTCGCTGACATCATCGGTTTTATGAGCCAATATGTTCCAACCAATTGATGCGGTCAACTTTGACATAGCTGGTCAAACAGTCAAACAGTCAAACAACATGCATATCCATTGAGAAGAAAGCAAAAGCATAAACAATGAGAAGTAACCTTCATCATCTTCAATACTATCATGTTTACTAGACAAAATCAAGTACCCTGAAGGTCTCAAGATTCTATTCATCTCCATAAGAAGCTTACCACCTGCCAAGTTTTTTCAAAATAATAATAATAAATAAATAAGATAAATGGAAATACTGTATATTGGAAAACAAAATAAAAACAAACCATTAGATTGCCAATGAATTTGACATTCTCCACAATGTATTGTATCAAAAGTGCCACTAGGAAAAGGAAGCCTTCGAGTTCCAAAAGGGGTAATAATGGCAGGAAAACCACGTTCAAGTGCTAATTGAGCTAAAATCCACAAGGTCATCCTTTAACCCTAATGCAAGTGTAAATACATTTTTCTCAAAAAGAAATGCCCCAAAGCTTGAATCTATACATCCAATGTCCAATATTGTGCGAATGTTTTTCCCCCATTCAATATCTGGTACTGTCTATCAAAAAACCAAAATTATCAATCAATAAAAAACCAAGAAAAAAGGAAAATCAAAAAAACCATTAAAATAATCTTTATTACACTTACTTCTTGAATAGATTCAAGATAATGAGCAATTCCACCAGTGAGTTCAGATTGGTTTTGTGGGAAAGTTAGATAATCACCAGATTCCACCACCCAACTTTGTGTTTTAATAAATTGAGCTAATTTTGGATGTGCAACATTCTTCAACCATATCTGTGTAATGATTCTTGATTAATGATTACACATTAAGAAAACAGAAAAATGTAATAGCAATAGTTTATGTTGAATTGTTGATTATACCTTCAGTTTACTTTCTGGCCAGATAACTGGTGTTTGATATCCTTCGTGTGGAAGTGGAACAAGACACATTAAGGGGTTTTTTGGACAACTTCTCTCATGATGTCTATACATTTGAATTCGTTTTGAGGTGACTTCAATGTCAATACATGGAATGTAGTTATGTTTACTCCTTGTACTACATAATTTCCAATTATATTCGGCTTTTGGATCAAATAATGGACCTTTAAACTTCTTCTTTTTTCCATGTTCAGCCTTTACTTCATCGTTTTCATCTAATTGATCCACATCAACCACTGAATCACCATCCACTGAGTGTTCCCCTTCTTCCACTTCGTCTTCTTTCTCGTTTTCAGTCTCTGACTCTGACTCTGCAACTTCAGATCCGTTTTCATCTTCTTGTTTCTCATCTTTCTTAGACACTTTAACAATCTCGACACTTTTTTCTTCTTTCTTATGGTTTTTGGGTACAACGGGATCTAATCTTGATGATTCGTTAACCCGTTTCTTCTCCTCCGCTTTTCCTGAATTCAAATCGGGTTCATTCTTGATTAGAATGGAAGATTTGCTCTTTTTTATTTGCCCTCTTTCGGAGACGGGTTCAGCGATTTCACCAAAAGTGCTTCTTTGATATGTGACAGAAGAAGCTGAAGAAGAAAATATATACCAAACAAACACGAAACATAACCCCAAGATTGTCACTGATGCGAACTTTATGAAGAACCCATACGACTTTTTCGATTGTCGACCAAATCGAGCTATGGGAAAACCCAACTTCTTGAAACCCATCGGATTTAAAAAGAACCAAAAAAGCTACTTATCATTGTCAATTCAATGAAGGGGAAAAAGAACAAACAGGTTGTGGGCATTAATGGATAGTGAAGTGTTAATTGTAAGAAGAATGGTGTACAGATCAAGAGAGAATAAAGAAACGAGTGGAGTTAGTTACCCATTGAATCCTTTATGAAATTGCAGTCAAACACAGTGATGTAAGTAAATCCATGTGGTTCTTAGCCTCCTCGCACCTTGTTTCTTCCGATATAAGTTTGATCACAGATTCGAAAGAATCTCATGAATTTAACTTTCCGGTAAGAGGGTAAGAATGGAAAAGGGAGGTAAACAGACGACAAGTATATTACAGGGGTTTGGTCAAGCTTGGTCCCGACAAGGATGTCTTCCGGACTTCCGGGTTTCACATGCGGGTCACTGCAAATGTCACTTGAGTTAGTGAGTACTTGACTCGGAATATGGAACGGGGGAAAACGTATTCATTCTTGAGAAAACTGCAAAAATGGTACCTTGAGGTTTGTACTTTTTTTTTTTAGCTAAGGCTCATAAAAGTTTCAATTTGTAAAACTAGTCTCGATGATAAAGTTTGGTTGTAATTTTGGTCCTAAAATTTAACATTGTTAACTATAATCTGTTAAGTTTTAAAGAAATTATTAATTTACTTTTACTTACTATTTTTATTATATATTATTGTTTTAACCCAAAACCCATACATTACATTTTCCACGCAATAACTTCGTACCATAACGTATCTGGAATAGTAGTAATTAGTTAAACAAAAACACTTGTACATATCACCGAAGTTATTCCATCTCCAACGGTCCAAAGATGGAAATCTGTGAATTATTCTGAACCATTTATAAACATCACAGCAAAAATAATTAAAACATTTATGGCTCCTACGTAAATAAGGAGTTGCGCAACAGCTACAAAATGAGAGTTTGATGGCATTTAGAATAAAGATATACAAACCAATCCAAATATAAAGGCAGAATAAATAGGATTAGAAAGTACTACTACTCCGATACCCCTAATATAAGACTCAATTCCAAAAAGGCTAAAAGAAAATCATGTATTAGTCCAGGTAAATCAATTATATATAAAATCAGAGATAAATAAATCAAAATCTTTGGTAATTCCAAGTTTCTAACACAACAACCATTAGTCATTGTAAATTTAAAACCATTGTGGGCCACCACCGACCACCAATATCTGGCCCTTGCATACGGGTCTTCCGGTCCGATTAAAGGAAGTACGATAAGTGTTGTTAAAGCCAAAGAGACGTGCAGATTTTAATTCCTGAATCTAGACCATCACTCAGAGTTTAGGTTTTGCCAATTTTATGGCAATCTATGGGTCGTGGGGTGGGGGGTGACACTGACAAGTGGATGGAAAGCTTAATAGACTTACGAAAGAGAGTTTGACATAAAAACTGAGCTCGGTCTTCATTTTATGGAGCTTCCGAATCACTCTTTTAGGCCTCTCCATGTTCACTGTTGGGCTAGTTGTCTTTGGGACCAGGTCACGAGAGGGTGGGCTCATATTATCTTTCCTTTTCTTTGAAATGAGCTCGAGCGACACCAAGTAATCATCTTGATTGCAAAAAGTCAGGAAACGAAAGCAAAAATCATCATATGATTCTCATGTGGCTTCAGAGAGGTCTCTATCTTCCCATGCAACTAAAAATGTATTTTGTTATTTTTGTTTAAAAACCATTGCCAACATCACAGTCATCGAATCTTGGAATATCAATAGAGGAAGTGAAATTATAACATCCGATTTTCAGTTATTTCCATTTTAGACCTTGGCCTAATTAAAGTTTACATTATTTTCCCCTTGTTGTTAAAAGAATTACACTTCAGCCCATACGTTGGGCGTACGTGAGGTACGCCCAACGTACTTGTGAGAGACCTAGAATGCGGAAGCCATGCTAGTACGATGGGCGTACATGTGGTACGCATGGCGTACTACCTCAGCCTCTAAAACCTAAATTTTAGGGTTTCACCCCTATTTAAAGACATTAAATCACCCTTGGGCCTCCCATAATCAGCCTCCACTCCCTTTTAGCCTTAATATCGAACCCTAGCCTTGATAGTGAAGATCTTGGAGCCTTTTTGGTGATTTTGTGCATTCTTGTTGAGAAAAAAGGTCCTTGAGGAAGGTAGTGTTACATGCAAGCTTGTGGATCCATAAATTTCTTCATCTTGTGCATCTTTTGAAGGTATAAAGTCCATACCTTGGTAATGTTCTTCTTAGATCTCTTTAGATGGGTTTTTATTAGCTTTTTGTCCCAAAGCTTGGACCTTTGTGAGTATGGGTTACTCCAAAATATTTCGGTTGTCCTTTTAGATGTATTAGAGTGCTATTATTCATAAAAATGGTTGCTTGATGGTCCCTTTCCAGCCATGCAAGAGTTTTGGTGGTGTTGAGTATGGATTAAGTTAGGGTTTCAAGGTTTAAGCTCTTTTCAGCCATGCAAAGGCTTAAAAGGTCAGATCTATGTTTGGATTGCATGTCTTAATGATTAAGAAAATTTGGAGTGATTTTTGGGATCAAACGACGTACGCCCAACGTACTTCTGGCTACGCCCAGCGTAGCCAGGCCTGACCCCGACCCACCTGATTCTTCAAGTACACCGTGCGTAAGGGGAGTGTACGCCCAACGTACGTGCTGGGCAATTGACTTTTGGTCAAGATTTAGGGTTTTGGACCATGGAAGGGGTAAAATGGTCGTTTTCCCCTTAAGGGGCATAGTTGTGGGATTTGGACTTGTGAGTTGAGTTATGGACCTTAATTATTAATTAGAGTTAATTATTGTGTTATTAGGCGGAGTCTAGTTCTGACAGTCCGGGTGTAAGATTTACTGCCATAAGTATCAGGTGAGTCTCCTCACTTATTCTTACCTGTGTGGTAGAATAGTGTATCTGTGATGACCAGCTGGGTCTAGCTGTTATTATAGTATTATGTTGTTTATGTGTGACTAAGACTTCGGGTAGTCTCCAGGGTTGCTAATAACCCACAGAGCGGGCTGTTTGCCCACTGGGACTGCTGATATAACCCATAGTTGTTTATTTATGATGTGTTATATACGGTATCTTGGGGAACTCACTAAGCTTCGTGCTTATAGTTGTTGATTATATGTGTTTCAGGTACTACTAAGGATCACGGGAAGGTAAAGGTCTGATTGTACACACTCGCCGAGAGATTTGTTACTGGGCATTTTGTGGCACTCTGATATTTTGTGATGATCATTTGTATTTGACACTTGTGTTTGTCCGATGATCATATGTTTGTGGCACTCTGATATTTTGTGATGATCATTTGTATTTGAGGGATTTGGATGAACTCTAGGGTAATTCCAAACTCAAACTAAGGATCTGAAGATTTTCATAAAAACTTTTCAAAGAAATGAAGATCTTTACAGGAGAAAAATCATGTGAAGCAGTGTGTACAATCAACCAGAGCTCGAGCGGTAGTTTCCCAAAATAATGTAGAGCTGATATTTTATGAGCTGATCAAACTGCATGTTAGTTAGTGGTAGGCTAAGGATCTTGCAGGAATGGTATGATAGGGTTGCCTGATTTGTGATACATTTAGCCTAGGAGTTTGTTCTTATGAGATTGAATCTGTCAATGCTATTTGCTTGGTGTATGTTGTATAATTGTACATAATTAGTATTTTATAGCCTTAGAATGCCTGATTTAACCTTTCTTCCTATTCCTTTTTTGGTTGTGGATTTGAAGTAGAATCATTTATTCGAATGTATATCGAGTCTCGTATTGTGTACGATTGGCATGCACAAAGCAAATGGCGAGGGCAGCAGAGATCTTGTGAGGCGGAGCAGAGTTTGGGGAGTAGTCTAGAATGAGTGTCTAGATGCTTAGTAGTGGTTCTGAGGAACCAGTAGGGTGGGTGTATAGATGATCTTGAGAAATAGATTCCTTGTGACTTAGGGTCTTGAGAGGACGATTTGAGACAAATACGGGTTGGTGTGGAAGGTAGTATTGGGCCCGTACTACTAAAAGCATCGGATCCGTATGTGGCTCAAGAAGGAATATTGAGGAACTAAGGAACTTGTAGGAGTGTGTGGATGTTTATGTATGCGCTTTAGACTGGTTCTGATGGTTTTCTTGTGTGTTTCACTATGGCGGTTACCCGTGGTTCATGCTCCAGCGACCCTGAGAGGCTGAGTGCCAGTGATGATGAGATCCGTAGGATTGTTGCCGCCGAGGTGGCCACAACGATAAGAGGGGCTATACCAAAGATGTTTGGGTCTATTGAGACCACACTGATTAAGACTTTCGACGATCACTATGCTGCTGTCACTAAGGCTGTTGTTGTCGCAACCACCGCAACTGTTGCTGTTGCGAGACCGCAGGGGGGTGATTCGTTGTGGTATCGAGAGTTCAAAAATACGAAGCCACCCAAGTTTGATGGGAACCAGGATCCGATTGCTGCGATGAGATGGATTTATGGTGTTAAGGGTTGTTTTTACACTTGCTCTTGTCCGGAGAATCTGAGGGTTCGTTTCGCGCTGAATCTGCTTCGCTTGGGAGCAAAGGATTGGTGGAAATTTGTGACAGTTGATTATACCCTTCGAGAGCGTTCTGCGGTGAGTTGGGAGAGATTTATTGATATGTCCAGAGATGAGTTTATACTAGTGGTTGAGAGAGAGAGAGAGAGAGAGGTTGGCCCAGGAGTTCCTGTCTCTCAAGCAGAAGACAAAGACGGTTACTAAGATCACCACGTTGTTTCATGAGAGGGCCTTGTTTTGTCCTAGAGCACGTGTCTACTGAGCAGGCACGTGTGAGCCGGTATCTGAGTATTTTGAGGAGGGACATCCGCGAGTTTGTGGAAAACACTTCGTATCGTACGTTGGTCGAGCTACAAACCAATGCAAGGAGGAGAGAGATTGAGTTGGAGACCCAGGCTAGAAAGGAGAGGGAGATGCAGGTAAGAGATATGAGACCAGTGCAATCGCAGCCCTTGACTAAGTGGTCTAAGCCCGCTGACTCGAGAGCTAGAGGCCAGAAGGGCCGCACTTACGGTTAGTGCAAAAAGGGGCATGAGGGACCCTGTTGGTCAGGGAGTGCTTGCTACATGCGTAGCAAGGAAGGGCATTTGGTTAGGGATTAACCCAAGGGATTTTGAGTTTGCTTCAATTGTAACCAGACGAGTAATTTGAGGGTCGAGTGTCCTCAACTTGCATCTCTGATGATTCAGACTCTGGCTCCTGCAACCCTACGTATTATTGATGGCATGTAGGGGAAGGCCGAGGCACCGAGGGCTTGAGGGAGAGCATAGTAGTTGACAGTAGAGGATTCCAGAGCATCTCCAGACGTCGTGGCAGGTA